TCTCTGGCCTAACTCAGCATGACTGGAGTTGGAGAAAAAGACTGGCTGGTGGCCAGCAGATAGCATCAAACACCTTCTTGGCCAATTGCCAGGCCTGAGGTTCACCAAACAAGGACAGGAGGAAGGCTAGTGGACTTCTTTGCCAGAAGCAGAGAATGTGACCCTCCTTGCCCTGGTTCCACACTCCCCTGCCACCTTCCATCATCATGTCCCCAGGACTTCCCTATCAGGGGGATGATGGGTCACAAGGAGATAAGTTCAGTTGGGTGCAAACACTATAAAAGTTTTAAGAAGCCCAAAAACAGTCGTACCAGAATTCATGGCCAGATCAGTGTTGTCCAGGGAGTGCATGGTCTCTCCGGTTAGCAGGAAGATGGAAATAATACCTCCCACCCAGATACAAAGTCCTCAGAAGGGAAGCTGATGCCCCACCCCGCCCCTGAGATGCAAAGGGCATCGTGAAGGTCCTGCGGTTCATCAGCTTAATCCTTCCTTGCAGTTGGCTTGTATAGGCTGTCAGGATCCTGATTTATTGACCAAAGTCCAACCTCAGTCAATAGGAGCTGCTTGGACTAGTAAATTGTAATATTGACTTGGGGGAGAGGGGGAGGCAAGCTGGGGGCGGGGGGAGAACGGCAGAGAGAAAAAACCTTCATTGAATCCATTTGTAACCCAATGAAGAATCAGATCCAGCTGGAAATGGGTGAGGAATCTGCTGGCAGTTTGGGTGGAGGAAAACCAGGAACCAGGAACAGGAAGAGAAAGCTTGGAGGTGTTTTGGCTTCTCACAGTAGTTGCTGGTTTGAACCTTTATGCTGTCCTCTGTTGCCTCTCCAGACTGTCCCAGCCCAACCTACTCTCACTTTTTACACTAGCTAGAGATGTCGGGAGGTTGGGCTTGAGGAAGGCTACTCTAGGGCTTCTGGAAAGTTCATGGCCAGCTAGCCATAGTTGTGCATTGCGTACTTTTGATCGGTGTGTGTTTCTATTGAAAACTGTTTATGCTTTAATATTTTAATTAGCCCTTTGTTAGCCTGCTGCATTGTTTTGCCACGGTGAATGTCAGTTTTTCTATGGAATGAGGAATGCCTCTTGAATCCCTTCATGGCTAAGTAAGGCAAGTGTGCAATTTCTTTTGGATGTGAGATGTGAAAGGCTGCCGAGGAGGGTTAAGTTTGGGCTGGAGAGAGCTGAGTCCAAAGCCAAGCTCAGAAAGAAAATGATGCATAGGACTGGTTGCAGCCTCTTATACTGCCTGACTTTTCAGGGTTTTGTAAATCCCAACGAGCTACACGATTCCCTCATTTTCCTGATAGATAGAAATGTGTGAAATTGCTTGCTTGTATCAAAAGGGAAAGGGGAAGAAGGAACAGAGGAGAAGGCTAGGACAGTCTAGATCTTGCTGAACTACAATTCCCAAGGGCATCATCCTCCACGACAAGGGGGAAGGAGTGCCGGGAGTGTAATTCAGGAACGTATGAAGGGCCTTTAGGTCTCCAGGATGGATTGGCAGTTTTAGCCTTCTTGAGCAGAACTAAGACCGCAGATGTGAATATTGTGGTGGGGACCAAATCTGATGCGAGCCTTGCAGGATCCAAAATCAACTTTTGGTGGTATCAGGATCATCCAAGAAGTACCTAAATGCCTTCTCAACATCCTCTTCACTTCTATTCTCATAATGTTCACTGCAACAAGAAGTGATCATGCTTCCAAAATAGAATTGACAAAGCCATGAAAAAAGAACTGTCAGTAAACATGAGATTGGTTATAATGGATCTGTGCCATCTTCTGACTGCCAAGAGGGGCACAGAGAGGTAAACTCATTCTTGGCTTGAAATGAGGTTTTGAGTCAACTCATAAACCACGTTGGCCCCCCTGCTGGGAAGGGCAGCTCCATTCTTACAACTTCTCAGAGCATTGAAAAACTGTGATGGCCATGATACAACAATTTGACTTGTGCAAAAAATGTGTAACACAACTTCAGTCCAAAGCTCTTAAGCCAATGCTCTCTTTCTCAAGGCTTGTTACTCCAAATGCACCCAACTACAACTTCCATAATTCCCCGTTCAGTATACCGGCTGAGAATTTGAGGAGTTGTAATCCAATCCATTTGAAGTAGGCTGGCTTGAAAGAAACTGGTGACAATAAACGAGATTTCCAGGGAACCTTTAGAAACACCATGGTTGGAAACAGAAGACTTAGGGTTACCAAATGTTTTTATCTTGAAAATCAATTTATTTTTATGCCCTCCAGGAGAATTATTCAACCCTCTGGGCCCGTCCAAGATCTTTTGCTGCCTGATGAGACAGGCACAGATTCAACCCCCATCCCACCACCACCCTGTACGCCCCCAGGGTTTCAATCTAGCTTATAGCTAGCGCCCTGAGCAGAATGCCAAGATAGCTGTCTTTGGTTCCCCTGCTTGTTGTTCTCTCAAGCTGGTAGCAGCACCAGCTTGGGTCACATCAGAGCAGTGTCTCTCAACCTTGACAACTTTAAGACGTGTGGACTTCAACTCCCAGAATTCCCCAGCCAGCCATGCTGGC